CTCTTCTTATCGTGCGTGACATCTGCATAAAGACGCGATGTTTTCGGGTCCCTCAAATCACAAGTTTGTTATTCTTCTTAAGACAATTTGTCATTTCTATCATTAACTAAGTTCTTATTTGTTTATTACACATGAAAAAGTAAATCGTTAATTATCTTTTCACCACTCTTAGAATCTGAGCGCACCATTTTATAGATAGAAAGATATAAATCCATATGAAATAGCCAATTAAAAATATTCTCTCTGTTCTAACTTTATAAAGATTAAAAACATTTTTTTATTTATTCATTCACATAAAGGCACGGAATTTGTTATGTAAGAGATTGATGCGATTTTTTTCAATTCGTGCATGTCATCATAAAACATACAGATACATGTAATGCGCGATTATTGTTTCAAGGAGATTACTTGATTCGTCCAACGAATGATCTAGTGTGTTTCGTGAAATCTGCTTGTCGACGATCGACTAATGTAATTGGCTCATGATTGATCCACGTGAAAACTCTTCTGATCCGTGATTCTAATTTTTGATTTTTCGTGGGTTTACCAAATATATCAGATTTATCGAAAGGCTTTTTGTAACTGTGTACAAACAAATGTTATAAAGACAATTCGAATTTACTTAAATAGCTGCAATCTTACAAACACCATGTATGTTGCTTACTCTCTTGTAATTTGTTCCGATGGCTCGTAACGATTATGCGATTTTCGGTACCAAGAGCGCGCGATATCCTCTCGCACTTTGGTCGCGCTTTCCTCAATTCGAGTTATTTGTTTCATCTTTTATAAAAAAAATGCAGATGTTAATTAATTACAATCCTTATATTAGGAATCACGATAGAAAAAAATGACGTTTCGAATTTTATGAGTGGGTTATCTGTAGAAGAACTATTCATTAATTTCTCAAAAATTAGATTGTGCAGAAATTATTAAATTAATAAACTTATATACTTCTTGGCAAATATAAAATCCAAAAATGTTCTTGTATCATAACTTTGATGTGAAGTGATCCTTAATACTTGGCCGATTTTTTTGATTTTCAATTTTCAAAATTTCAATTTGAGTTTTTGGAAAAAGATTCTTCCAGGACATAGCTTTAAATGTTTCCTTGATATTTCATCGAAATTTTCAAGGAGCGTCTTATTATCTCCCACGAATAATCATCCCACAAGGAGATTGTCCCTATTGTCGATACACCTTCCACTACATATACAATACGCGATATCACGTAACGAAATACCGTATACCAGTTTTGCAATGGAATGGCAGAAACGGAATACGGCCTAGCGCACCCCGACGACGTAACATTATACGCGAAGAATATATCGAATGAAGTTGTTCGGTTAGTTGTTCGCTTTTTTTTTTTTTATTTCTACACGTGTTAAGTACGTGTTAATTTACCAAGATGGATTTGCAGCGTTTAAAGAACGTCTTATTGCATACTGCATGTGATTCAATTAATTACCGCATTAATTATCACCGTTGACGTTACATAATAATGTAAAACGGACAGTTATTCGCGGTTGGGTAATTTCTGGTATTTAGTATTCCTTTCTACTTGTATGTATGCGTATATTTTTTGTTTCTCGGGATATTAATAACAAACAGCATACATAATAACGCGATTATCTATTTTTAGATTTTATAAAATATCTGTTATTATACCTATTCTGTCCTTAGTAGATCTCGTTACATTCTATTGGAATTCTGCCGACAGATTTTGCATCGATCATGTCGCTTTATATAATTTTTATATTTGCATTCGACGATGTCGGCAGAATTGAAGTAGAAATCTAACGAAATCTGATAACGGACAGTTGGTAGATTGGCGTGGAAAAAATTTAAATATCATTATCATATTTATAAATACCCAGATATTATTTGTAACATATAATATTCTTGTTATTATATAGAGATATATTGCCGTACAAAATTCGTACAATATGACATTTATATTAACAGCTGCACCTTTATCCATGAGAGTAATTTGCGCTCGTTGCACTACTTTTCCGAGATTTAATGTATTCTTACAGCTGTCATATCGACCATGATGCAATAATATAGGTTGTTTCGCCTTGTTTCTCAGATGAAATACCGGACCGTTAATTGCGGTAGCATGTGGCTCGCCTTGAACAGCTCTTCCCTTTAAAAACGCCGCAAGATGGCTGGTGATCGAAAATCATGACCCGATGACCGCGTCAATAAAATAAAAAAAATCTTCCCGATAAAATTCGGATCGTAAACTTCTCACGTACACCGTTACACCGGGCAACGTTGATTTCGATGTACAAAAAAGATATCACGGGCTTCTACTCATATTGTTCAATAACATTTTTGGTCTCACGATTTGGTTACGATAAAAAGAATGTAGCGATCCAATGCGGAACCGAATCAATATACCAGTCAAAAAGAAAAAAAGGAATCTAAAATATTACTCCGAAGAGCTATATAAATCGTAATTCAAAAACGAACGATATACCTTAATGATAAAGAGAGAAATTTATGTGTGATATTTTATAAAAGAAAGACCGCGGTTAAAAAAGAACCGGTTTCTGGAATAAGTTTTACACTGATGCACACAATTTCAAATCGTCGCAAGCGCATTCACGTCGGATTATCAAGAGGTAGAGAATTAAAGGCTCTAGTCGAGTCTTTTCTTTATTATTTACTAATTTATTAATTTTGATGTACAAATTTCTCAACGATGAAACGAAGTGTACATGAGAAAGGAAGGGTTATATAAGGCTCTGTTATCAGACTATTCGTTTTACTTAGAAACAAGCCCATCCGTTTGTACTCCTTCTTACTCGATCCGCTCGTACAATGTATGATTAAACCCTGATTGCGTTTAATGCGATCACGTCGTAACGAACGGTAACAACTATCTGTCGGCTGCGGCGACTTGTTTCCTCAAAAGGCGCGGCGTGCACCAATTCGCCACCGCGAATAAAACTAGCGCGAGGCGATACAGCTGGATTAACAACGAGAGTGCGGATGCGCTCGTTGCTCCGCACTCACGACGTGTTATTTACAGAGAAAAGAGCGCGCGCATTGCCAGGATTACGGACAATTTGCGCGATACCTCGGTGATTGGAATCGCGTCCGGGAAGGGTGGCCGGCGAATCTCGGGGGCACACAATGCGGCGACTTTCTTTCCTGGAAAGGTTGAACGCTCCCCCTCCGTCCGTCTGGTATTCCATAATTGTCCTGGAAAAGCAATTAAAGCTCACGATCCATTGATTGGAAAATGATTAGTGCCACGACGATGAGATTAATTCGTCTCTCCGTATCTCTTGCGAAGAGATACAGGGGAGAGGAGAGATTGTGCGCTGCTTCATTGCTGACGATAACGACGCGAAGAATTTTTTTTATACTTTATTTCTTTTTTTTTATAATCATATTTTTTACTAATGATATATGAAATAAAAATTTACTAGTGATATATGAAATAAAAAAAATATTACATCACTTTTATTAATGTTATCATGCACAAAATAATTAATTTCCGTGCAATATTATGTGATAAACAAATTTGTAAAATAGATATTTTATAGAATCAAAGGCAGAATAATAAATACGTTTTGACTGTAAGGATAATGCGTATAAAATTCAAAGATTATGCGACTATCGATCCTCGATAATTTAGTACGTGCGCTGGTCTATCTGGCGCGTCCATTCTACTTTTTTTTACATTAGCGAGGAACATGCACTTTATTTCTTTTTTTTTATAATCATATTTTTTACTAATGATATATGAAATAAAAATTTACTAGTGATATATGAAATAAAAAAAATATTACATCACTTTTATTAATGTTATCATGCACAAAATAATTAATTTCCGTGCAATATTATGTGATAAACAAATTTGTAAAATAGATATTTTATAGAATCAAAGGCAGAATAATAAATACGTTTTGACTGTAAGGATAATGCGTATAAAATTCAAAGATTATGCGACTATCGATCCTCGATAATTTAGAACGTGCGCTGGTCTATCTGGCGCGTCCATTCTACTTTTTTTTTACATTAGCGAGGAACATGCGTCGTCGAGAGTTTTATGAAGAGAGGACGCGGTCTTGTTGTTCGTCTTGTACGTGCTAAATATTTGAGTCAGCTTGTCGTTGGCATTAAACGACGAGCAAACATCGTCGATACACCGCGGAAGAAAACGCCGCTCATTTATCAAGTGCAAACAAGGCACCGTTCTGTCTACCTTCTTCGCATCATCCCTTAGAATAAGTTATTCAATGTGTACGGATAAGTTATACGTTCAAATAGATCGCGGATAAAAATCTCTTTTAACACACGGTCATGATAATACGGAGAGATTAATTGAAGATAGTAATTGAGTACTTCTATTATCTATTAATGGAAATATATTTTTTAATATCATTTTCAATATAAAATATAGATTAATATAAAATCAGTTCGATTTTTCGGTATTATTTGTATATAGGAGCTTGGTATAAAACAAAATTGATTTATATAACAAAATTTATATATATTTTACACATCTCTTCGTTTGTGAAAGAATGTGTGAGAGATATGCGAGAGAATCCGCAAAATATTTTACTTGACAAAAACTTTCTCAGTAAAAGATAGAGATAAATCTCTTGAAATATTTTTGCACAAGATACAGATCTTTCAAGGAAACGGCTGCGAGAGAAGAGAAAAGCCCGAGATCTCGGTCGACACTCGATATCACGTCCAGCTGTGCGCAGCAGCGGATTTTTAAGTTACAGCCTCGTGTAAAGAGAGAAGCGCTAAACGGCAACGAGCGCTTGAAATTCACGCTCGCTGCGTTGTCGTATCGCATTTAAAGCAGCAGTTCCCAAACTGCATAAGAGTGAGAGTAATAATAAATCACGGAGGAGATATTGCGAGAAAAGATAAGAACGACATACCGTTTTTCGCATCAAACGCGTATGTATATTTCTAATTTTGAAATAGACCAAATATTTAAACGTAAAAAGTTGATATTTCTTCTAGAAAAATTTACACTTCCATTTCAAGAAAATATATGTCATTAAAGAGACAGCCGTTATTTTTCTCGTTTCTTGGATTAATAAGCCTCAAGGTTTACACTCTACAGACTCGTGTTTCGATCCCAGAACCCAGAGTTGAGCTTGTAACTGTATGATCTTAATCTTCTGTCAAATAATTATATTCGAATGTAATAAATCGTGGGATATGAAGAAACAGAACAGAAAATATCGTAAAAAAAAAAAAAAAAGATTTTTTTAATCGCCTACCATGTATAAAACGTTACGCAAGCATGGTCAGACTGCACCATAATCCGAGAAGGGAGGGGAGGAGGGAAAAAGGAGTGCTTCTTTTGGGAACCCCTGACAGCTGGTAGCATATGACGTGATAGAAAACAGTGTCAGCGAGCGGGGTCAAGATGTGAGTAAAACGGTAACTGAGCGCGAAACAATATTTGCCCGATAACCAGTCTGGAAAACGTTCTCTCCACGTGCTAATGGATTTAGCGGTGACAGGACGCTAAACCACGTGTGTGCCCCGCTCCGGCGAACGAGCGTGCTCCACGCGCGCGGCGTACACGCGCGTATTGCACGAATGTTTGCCGTGCCGTGTCGTGTCGTTCCCGTCGTATTTCACCGCAACAACGATCGATGGGATTTTTATTCATGTATGAACAAACAAACCCGTCCGTCCCGGGGTACCTATCTTCCGCGGCGAGCGAGCTCGAGCGATTCCAATTCGGGTCGAATTCTAACGCGCGCGGGAGACCCCGTTGTTTCATACGTCGTAGATTTATTGCGGAACGCGTCATTTCCTGAGAGTCTCTCAGCAGGTGTAATTACGGTACAGCAAGCACTGCTACACGCGTGCGCCCCTTTCGACTGAAACGTTCATTCCGGAAGAGAACATGTTGCGTAGAGAGATTAAAAGAAGCATAAAGATTTAAGTTTGAAACTTTAAATTCAAGAAGAAAGGAGAAAATATATAATTTGTAAAGATAGTTTTTAAGAATAAAATGTTAAAAGATAAGAAGAAAGAAAAATATGTAGAATTATATTACATATCTCAACACTCAATATATATTTATAGATATATTTATTACATTTTTTTTGGGGGGAGAGGGGAGGGGAGGGAATTAAAACTGCTCGTAGCATAAGAACGTACTTTTTCAGTACAGAGAGAAATCAGGGACAGGAAAACCGTGCCAGATAGGTAGAAGAATTTTTCAATTACCTTCTCGAAATGTTAACTCTATTATTGCAGTAAAGTAGGTCGATGTGAAGTCGCGATTGATCTCTGCTACAAAGTCTTTGATCATTGTTCATTTCATCGTGGACAGTTTCCTTTCGCCCAATCGATCGAAAAGCCGTTCGCATAATTATCGCGACCCTGATAAAATACACCGCGACGTGAACGGTAACGCGTCCTGATATTGCTTTCACTTATAATTAGTATTTCTTGTGATATCAGACGTTCAACTTTATCCAACTTTGCAGCGCTCAATTTCTGAGCGTATTTAACGATATATTTTTTGTTTCCTTTCAAAATCATCATCTTTCTTCATATACGACATTAAAGCATGAAAACATTAAGTTTTGCAGATATTTAAAGCTTAAATCTTTTTATTTATAATTTTGCATTCTATTTCATCTATTTTTTAAATAAAGAATATTTGGCAACTATTGCATATAATTACATTGCTCAGATCTTATGCCTTGATTTAATTTAAATATAATAAAGATTTTAATACATTATAGATTTTCTAAACTGTACGTTAATAAACTTCTTCGATGTAATTCTTCTTTCGCAGAATTCTTTCGTGTTCCCGTTTTCTTAAAAAGGTAAAGGACGTCGTTAGTTCGACATCTTCGATATCTTCAAGATACTCGTTTCGTTTCGACTTTTACGATTGTGCCGTTATAATATACTATCGCTCTTAGAAGACAACTTCGAAATAGCGGCAGTAACTTCACTCTGTCTTCCATCATTACCATCTAAAATTTGTATTTTGTTTTATTTCAAAAACGGACAGAACTTTCCGGTAGACCTAATACTTGCGCAAGCCGGGTTCATCAATTTGGTGTAGAGAAATCAATTTTCTTTCACGTATCTTAAAATACGGCCGGAAGTAGCGTCGCGTTCTCACGTGTCTATAATAAACGTGACTGAACTGACATAAGCGCACGAAACGCATGTTAATGGAACCTTCGTATTACTATCTATCAGATCAACTGCTTAGATAACGTCAGAATTTTTGAACAAGGCCAATTTAACCGGTTGTTAAATGAGTTATCTTGAAAATAGGATGCCATTATCTTCGATCTGAGGAATTTGAGTGAAGAGTGAAGAAATTCTTTCTCCGAAAAAAATCAAACGCATGTTGAGTATTTTTTAATAGTTTAACAACGAACTGATTTTTTATTGAGTAATATTGCTTAAAAACCGATACACTATCTTGCTATTAATAATTAAGATAAGATATAATATAGATATAAGAATAAGCAATATAAGATATAAGAAAATATAATATGTAAGATTATCGGGTGAATAAGATAAGCATTGCTGTTACAGTGGAATTAATATGTGGCAACTTATATGTATATGTATGTATAATGTGTTTTTTTCTTTTTAATGAAAAATTATATATATACATATATATATATATATATATATTGATTAATCTATTTATATATCTATTTATATATATTAATCTATCGAAGAGTTCTAGCTTATATATTATCATAAAATTTCATTAAAATAAATCCGGAATTCATTAATCAGAAAAACGGCAGCCTCCGATGCAGATGATTTCGTATTTTAGATAACGAGAAACGTGTAATTGTCAGCAAAAAAATATCGCAACTATAAAAGGAAAGATATCATAATTCGGGATTTATGTTGTATAGAATATATATACGTATATCTTGTATAATCAGTACGCGATTACATCTGGGGCCATTATCGCTGTAATTTTAGAATCAAGGAAACCAAGCTAATAATATCCAATGATATGTCATTTCTATCTTAGACTGCCTATTAATTTGATATCGCATCGATTTACATTCTCTTTAGTAGATAAGGCTATAGATATGTGTAACTCTCGCAATCTTTCGCAGAATTTTCGCAGCGACAAATCACCGCATTGTATTAAAAAATTCTCTATACGTGCGAGATGTAAAAAAAATTAACATAAAATTACGATTGTTCAATATTTAATTCCTTAATTAACTATTAATTTTATTCTTTATATCAGATTGTTTAAAATTTTGTTAAATCTTGAAATTCTGCATAATAAAAATTAAATAATTAACTATAAAATAAATTTAGAAAGAAAGAATAAATTTAGAATAAAAGTAAAATTAATAAATTTATAGATTTTCGGACAACACGATTTGTGACAAGTATAAATTAAAACGATCATTTCGTAAATTATCTGATTTTTGATAGATTTTCTTTTTTTCGAGCATCTCAATGTGTATAAAAATAGGAAAAGGAAGGAGAGGAAAATTGGTTACTAATTCGATTAGGATATAAATAAATCGATAATAAATCAGTAGTTTAGATTTAAATTTATCGGACAGTTTCGCTGTATTAATGGCAGATTAATTATATATGATCATATTCTCAGAGGCACACATACATTACGAAACACACAGGACGTAATTGCTATATTGGTACAGGTAAATAAAAGGTATGTAATGCCTAGTTTTCAGTTTCATTATGAATTATAAGAAATACTGCCGTTTACATGTGTGTGTGTGTGTGATTCGGTCCACGTGACTTTTATAAAAATTTTTTCTTTGTAGCACAAAAGCTATAATTAAATCTATAAAAATTTGCAGAAATGCATTTATGTCAAATATTAAAATAAAATTTCATACTGGAATATATATCTCGTAAAGTTCTTTCATTCACACGAATCAGTTTCACAATCGCGAACTTTTCACTTTCGTGAATGTCTGATTGCATATCTAGATTTCTTGGTCCTTAAATTCTTACTTTCGCCTAAGGAGATCTTTTTTGTATTCATATATTAGTTACATAAATATTTAAATTCTTATATATATTTCCGTTTTTATAGGAATCCTCCCTCGTAACTTTTCATTTTATTAAAAATCTTTCACTTTAGAAAAAATCTTAAATTCTTAAATTTTTTTTTAAATTTTCGCCGTCTTTATATATATAAAGCCCGAAATAATATATGAAAATGTCCACACTGTTTGTACACCAATATCAATTATATATGTATTAGTCAATATTATGATATGTATTAGTCAATTATGTTCGATAAATGGGCTGTCGCTGTGTGATATCGCGCTCAACAAAAAAATCACTATCTCGCAAGATCGCCGTTCGCTCTTTCGATGTTCTTTTATTATGCCATACCGACGATTATAAACATAAAGCGCTAACGTTTATCCGTTTAACTCACTGACAGCTGACATTAGCACACGAATTCCCGCGCGCTGCTTTTGATACTCCCGGTTCTCTCTCTGCGCTCACCTTTCTACCGGTGACAGGATCCCATAGCGTGTACATACACGGTGCTTCAAATGGAAGTCAAATGTATCTTGTCATCTCGATAAATACATTTTTTTATCGAACAATCATTGTATCATTTTTCCTCTTTCTTCTCTTTTATTTATAAAAGTAAGACAATTTGAGATATTAAGAGATAATATTAAAATGAAAGTCTTTGACATTAAAAAGTACTAATTTCTCATTGATTCTCAAGTTCAAAGAATAGAAAAATGATATTGTGTACAGGGCAGTTTTCTAATGGGGGGATTTCATTTTTGTATAAAAAATTCCCTCTCTTCCTCTACAGTATTATAATAAATTAATATATATGAATCACCCTGTAACTAAATTAGAATGCCAGATGTAAATATCAGAATGCCAGATATATTTCTGTGCTTTGCGCTATAACTAATTTCAACGTCAGACAAACCGAGATCTCTTCAACTCATTCGTCTACAATTTCCAAAAAGGTATCAATATCAAAAACCGATATAAATAAACCGACATAAATTTTGATTTTTTATATTTTCAGCCTATTTGTGTGATAATTCGTCTAAAAATCTTTAATGTATTTTATAACTATCGGACGTCTTTATTTTAAAAGAAGATTTAAAAAAGATTATCAAAAATTTGTATTTGATATATACAATATTTAAAGTTTTGGAGAACTTTTGTATTGACTCTCTATTTCAAATCTTTTTTCTTATATTATTTCACGTATACATATAAATTCTTATTTTACGTTAACCATTTATAGTCGAATAGAAGAAATAGCTCATGTCAATATTTTGTTTTTCATCAACGTCACACCAAAACATAATAGTACACATATATTGTATACACATGGGATAAATACACACAGGTGATTCCGAAAGGAAGAGGGAGAAGAGGGGGAATAGTACAGCGAGACATGGGAGGAGTTCCCTGCGAGTACGCTCTCCGTCTCTCCGGAGAGACCACTCTCGCGGTGGCAGAGGTGGTCTCTGCTCACCTGAGCGTTTCAGGTGGCAGTCGCCCTGCTGAATCGTTCAGCGACGGGTTCTCCTCGTGTAAGCGCCGCGAGCGCGATTCGCCAGAGAGGGATTCGCACGAGACTCACGAGACACCGGGAGACTTGAGAGAGAACGCGCGAGATTGATATGTCGAGCGAATCCGCGAGTATACTCGCGATGGGACCCGAGAATCGCGTATTCTACCATTGACGATCTCCCGAATTCTCTTCCAAAATCGATGAAACAATCATCGCGAGGATAAAACATTTCATACGCAGATCTCGTCTAATTACTCGAAAAAAGACGGAGACATAATTGTCAATAGATTTATTTCAATAAAATAAAACTCGATCAATGAAATGAAATTATTGTGTTTATTGGACTGGTTTAACCACAAGAATTAATTTTTATAAATCAAACTAATTTAATCAGAAAAATATTTCCATTGTGAAACGGTTGTCCAATTTGATGCGACATCAATTTTTGTTAATTGAGAAGCAAACGGATTTTTGGTGCAGTAATTCGTCTAATAATTGTTCATTTTAATTAATCAATCAGAAGAAATTTCGCTCCTTGTTATTCTTTCTGATTCAGAAACATCTCTAAGATCGCTCAATCGAGACTTTCGTGATTCGCGAAATATTTCGTAATAAACAATAAATGTGGCGCATTACAACATAATAAAGTAAACCAAACAACGATACCTTCCATCGTAATCGATAAAAATCGCCACACCAATAAACGAGATCGATTGGGAGTTCGAAGAATTTCCATGCATCTTGAAGAAAGTGAACGTCCTCGGTGGTCTCGAGTTCCCTGCGATGATCGAAGAGCTGTCATCCGCGAGAAGAAGCTGATCGTCATACGTTTATTAAACAGAAAGACATTCCTGACGGCGGATCGATTGACAGATAGATGTTCCGTTCAAGCAACATATAAATTTGTCATGGAATCGACTCGTCCGATAGCATTTTGAACGGAATTATCATCATTTAATAGACGACACGGAGCTGTGAAAGGTGTTCAATCGCGGAAGGAAAAACTTAAGAGTCTCGAAGTTTACGAAATCTCGAAACGACGGAGTATCGTGTACACATGTTCCACTAACGGAAGCTCTTTACTATAGAAGAATCAACGAGGGATATAGCGATAAGACACACACGTGTTAATCAAGAACTAATTGTGCTTGTGAAATATGAACGACATAATTTATAATAGAGAGACACAATAGTGTGTATATAATTTATTTAAAGAGTAAACTAATTATTCAATTTGATTAAACTATTTCGAAAAAATTGAGAGTAGCAAGTTCTAAAAATTCTTCAAATTTATCGTAATATAATATAATAGAATTTAATACGCAAAAGAGAATCAGAGGATAGTGTTGAATTTACGAAAAATATTCTCGAATTTCTACGAGTTCGATTCCCGGTCGTTCGATCTCGGCGATTAGATAGGGAACGCGTGATAAGGCAAAGAGATTAATTAATGTATACAAGATTGAACGGAATGATTTACAATTCACTAATCCGACCGGGCCAACCTGCGAGTTAATTTTAACGGTGAGAGAATGCGAAGTAAACTGAGAACGGTCGAAAATAAACGCGGTCGATCATAAATCTCACAGCGACCATGTGACAGCAAAAGCCAACATCGTTATCGCTGACAAATGCCAATGATCACATGGCCATAATTCAGCGCCACATGACAGAGTCAACAAGTGTCATCATCTGTAAATGCGATCGATCGATCGCGCGCGCTTCTTGAGGCGAATTCGTTCGCGAGGAAGAACTTATCAAACGAGCGAGATCTTCTTTCGTAAGGATATTCAGTAATATTATAATTAAATATTACATCGCTATAAAGATCTCGCGGCAAAAAATGGCGTTCACGGATGTGAACGATTACACTTGATTGGGAAAAAGATAAAAGCCGGTTTTCGCTCGAATTTATACGCGAGTGAAGTAGTAAAGGATATTCGTAAAAGTACCGCGAGTTTTCCCGAAAGATGGATTTATGTGAAAGCCAATAACGTGTAGAATGAACAAGGACGACTGGGGAACAGTCATTTGAAAGTTTTACAAAGATATTATCTTCAAATGCAAAATTATATGGATGTGAACTCTGATTAAAGACTTTCGTCGAGAAATGCGTATTTCCGCAAGCGATCATTGATCACACGATCATTGATCACACACGGATAAAGCATGATGGGAGAGGTGATCCGTGTTTCTGGGAGGGCACCGGACGTCGGTGACATCCTAAAGGAGGCTATGCTGTCGCAGAGATTCGCCGACGTGGCCCTGTGTTGTCCAGGAGGCCAGCGATTCCTCGCGCATCGTCTGGTGCTATCAGCAGCGAGTCCTTATCTCCAGGTCAGTAAAAAGTTATAGTCTAATTCATAATTAAGCTAATTATTGTGCAGGAATAACACGAGTCGATTTAAATGAAAGAGAGAGAAAATTATTTTAAAGTCATTTATTAAATTGTTACTTTCAGGTTTAATAAGTTAAACGCATATTCTTATTAAAATAATTTAAATTAATTTAAGATTTCGCTAGGTGAGACTTTGAGTTATGACTGTTTTATGTCGGCTTTTTCTCCTTGTGTTATCTATTTATCTAACGATATTAATGACGTATAATCTTATCAATATTAAACAAACATAGAAAGAGATTTTATGCTCATAATTAATATTATCAGATTACGAATTTTGAAATATATAATTATCTCGTAATAATTGAAGAGTGCAAACTGCGAGAGAAAGCAATTATATCGGATTTGCGGACGATCTATGAAAACTCTTACAACATTTCTAGTATTTCGCAGTTGAGAGAGAAGCTCTTATAATACTGTTAATTACCACCTCGGCCATAATAAAAGACGCAATAAAGAAGAACGTAGCTTGCGTTGCCGTTTAATTCGCGGGTTAGTTACCGGGATAAAAACCGACGGAGTTGTTAATCTTGCACTTGAATGCAAGTGCATTTCGCGGCGGGTGTTCGCTTATGTTCGTTTGCTCGCTGTAACTGCGTATGCCACGCGTGTATAAACCGATTGTATGCGGGCGCTGACGAGCGTTTAATGCCGTCGAATTATGTCACACGGAAATAGAGATAATGCGAGATACCGCGGGCAATTCTTGTGTAATTTCTTAAAATCACGCCGATTATATTACGATGTGCATTGCGACCTCGAGTCGAGTTGTGTTATTAGATCGGAACATGTGCGAAAGATTAACGAGACAGTAATGTAGATTTTCGCAACGGGATGTAACGGATTCTATTCTTTTTGTAATAACCCTCTATCTTTTAATACACATATCTTTCAAGCGAGAGCTAAGTATTTCTTAAAGATTGGTTTGACATCGAATCACCGGGCTTTTATCTCATTTAAAGGAGAATGCAATTGTAAAGAATTTGGGAAATTAAAATTGTTTAATAATAAAAAGTTTATTATTCGTCTAATTTCCTTCTAAATTCAACTCTTTCAGATTCTTTACTTCACAATGTTAAATAATTATCGAACGATTATTAGTTATTATAGTATATTATACTCCTTTGGTGCTCTTTTCTTTCGATAATTTTCTACGTAATTTAAAAATTACGGTTTATTTTTCTATGCTTCATTATTTTTGCCACTGTTTGCGAAGCGCAGCTTTACGTGAGTAGAATCTCGTTGCGAAAGGAAAACCGAGGAAACAAATTCCGATGCACTCCACCAATTACAAAGTAATGTCGTGCGTCAGCTACGTGAAAATTCTCAATTATGCATCGCTGCCACGAATTCGTGCCACGAAATACGCTTTCTAAACTCCAGCAATCGGAATGTCCAAAAGAAAAATTTCTCGTATTTCTCTAGAATATTGAAATTGGTTGAATCGGCTGAGCTCATTGCCCTCTTTCTTTCTTCTGCTTATTATTAGAAACATAATTAATTGTACAACATATTTCGCTCAATTTCTGCATTACTCATATTTTTGTGCGCGATTGTTTTTATAAATACCAATAATGCCGATTATTTTAATCAAAAGTAAAGCATCATTATACGATCGTATACTGCATTGGAAATAATACAACACACACGCACTTCTGCCTTATGCTTAAAAAAAAAAGATGACGTCCGTGAAATGCGTTTTCTTGTTGCAACACAAATATGGTAACTTTAACTTCAACGTCGACAGATTCCCGGACCTTTGATTCTATAAATCTCGCACGACGTATTTATGCTAGGCAGCCCTTTTGCGGTTCTTGAAACGTACACGGAACGGTGCGTCTTTCCGGTACTGCCATTCGCGGATTCTCGCGAGTCACGGCGTCTCGATTTATTGCCACTTGACCTAGTTGACCTGTTTCTTCCACATGAGATTCCTACTTTTTGTACATTCCTCCGCATGTCACATGAAGAGAGAAAGAAATAATTAAATTACTCCGTAAAAAAGACGCGGAAGAAATGATAGAAAAAATTTCAAAATATATCAAAATTTTTTTTTGTTTGAAAGCCAAGATTTTTCTAAAATTATATATATAGTCGGATGTGAATGGATTTTAACTATATCTTTAAAAATTTAAATAAAAGATAATAAAAGAACAGAGAATCTATTTTTTATATAGTTTATATTATACAAATTTCGAAAAAAATTCTAACGTAAAGTATATAGTGATATTATATATACTCTCTTATATATATTTCATTAATTAAACTATATTTTATTTTTTCTCTTTATCAAATGCAAAATATTACATTGCTCAGAAAAAAGATAGGAAAATATTATTTTACAGTTTCAAAAGAAAAGCGTGCATGTAGAAAAATATCCAACTTGTTTGCCACTCGAAATCGGCTTTGCAATGACGTACGTTACGCGCAATTAACTCGATAATAAGAATCATAAAGAATTGATATCCGCTTTTATAATACTTTGCCCTAATAATGTTTTCGCGCAATGAAATGATTCATTTTGAACAAACATCGTAGAAAAATAGAGAAAAAAAGCGTATGCGTTATTAGAAAGATATGATTTAATCGCGATCTCATAACGAGCTTCTCATTATGAAATAAATCATTTTTGCGTCATGTGGAAATATGAAAAAAATTCACATGTTAGTCCAATTAGTTCAAGTAATCTGAGTATAATTGTGTATGCATTCGCACATATATAAACATATATATTTTCATTTAAAATTGAAATTAAGGAAATTCAGAAAATGAAAAAATAATATTTTTTTTGTGACATAAATATAACAAGAGATTATAAAATCGCGGAAAATGTTATAAATGTTGAACGGATTCGTCGTTATGAAATATGTTGCGCGATTTGTGTGAACTTGATTGCGCATTACTAGCTTTTTACATTTGGCTTTTACATCTCTCGACAAGCGTGGAAGATCATCATACTTATTCCAATTAGTGGGGCTGATATTATTAGCAAAGCGTGTTAGTTCTTACAATTGCACATACAATGAATGAGAAAGTACATCCTATTGTAAAGATTCTCAATATATTATATTTTAATAGCGAGAAGTTTTAGGAAATCATAGAACACATTATTATATATGTATATATATATTACGAGAATTAAAGTAAAAATTTTTTCGGATGGCGATTATTTAGAAGACGGTGATTATCGAGATTTGCGGATGAACAAAAAATAGCTCAGCAATTTTGAATAAAAAATTGTGAATAAAAAATATTTATGGCGCCGTTAATATTAACGGAAGGCCATAAAGAGGCAATAAAACACCACGGAAGAAACAAGCGAAATTCTTGTAAGCCGCGTAAATCATATTCCACGAATTCCTACACTCATAACAAATATATATTTGGGCCTTCAATATAATATTTTTACAACAATTTTTTAATCGGCAATTAATAATTAAATTTAACACAAAGATTTAATTTAATTTTGTGTTCTTTTATCAATTCAAAATAAAACAAAATCAAATAATTGTGATCGTATAAAATTATGATTTGAAATCCTTTAAAATTCTTATATATATATATATAATGGCATCATTAATTTAAAAAAAAATATATATATTGCACATATGTATCAGCATACGTACCAATTGTACAAACGTGCAATGTAAGGATTCAACGGTTTATTTCCAGAAGATTTTAATAGAAACAAAAAGCTTTTAAACGTCGCGTGATGAGAAATTATGGCTTTCTGCGGCGAACAGATTATGGTGCGTCCGTGTAAGTTTTTCGTAAGCGCCACACGAGAGCAAGTGTTTCTCATAGTCAGGCTCATCATTAGAGAGGCCGGCGCAGCACGAGATCACGTATTCATTGCTTAATTAAGATTATCGTAACTTGAAAGGAAGCGACGAACCGATATTTCACGTCAGCCTGTATTGCATACGTCAATCCAGAGATACGACATTGACACGCGTGTCTCATGATTCGAAAAATGTTCCTTCCACCATTCTTCATTTTCTTTTTATTGATAAGACAAGTTTATAGCATATGTTTTGAAATTACGTGACGTTTCTTTCAATTTCAGAAAAGTTTAAAAAATTTAAACATAAATTTGGGCATTTTTCGAGAAAGAGAAAATAACATTACATTCTCTCAGTAATATTACATAAAGTAATACTCAAATAATTAAGGTGCAAAGCCATATTTATGAGACAAAGTTACTTATCAAATTAAGTTATGCATCTATTAACAAGATCATACATCAAAACGATCTGAAAAGGAGAGAAATATGACTAGAAATACATATATCAGCTTTCAGAACTTCGCCGTTAACATATATCACATAAAAATACGACGATGCGTGCTTGTGCGTTCGATTCGCATTAATCAACTAAGATTATTGTAATAAACTATGGGCAGTTAACGATGACACACATAGAGAAGACAGGATATAACGGCAAAACATCGCGACGACATATCCATACATTTTAATCACGACAATGTTTCACGTCCACTTGCTCCAAAATGCTAATTAAGAGATGCGGAGATAGAACTCACCAAACATTAATTAGACGACAAAGATCATCGCGGAGAGATTAAAATGATTGAAATTGATATAAATAAAGGAGTTTCGTATTGTGAGAAAAATTGTACATTTCATTAAGAAATCAATTAATTCAATTTGTTTGTTATTTTATTTCATTTCTATTTTTGAAGATAATAGTTTTTTTAACTAAATTAATTATAAAATTAGTAACAATATTTTGCGTATATTAAATATATGTATATATTTAAAAACTATTTAACAAATATATTATATAAATAATATAAAATATTCATTATTAGACATAATTATTATGAAATAATAATTACTAATTTTATATAAGAAAAATATGCACTCATTGTTTTATATATTGGCACAAGAATTTCAAAAACATACCATCTATTTTTATCAGAA